TACATATTTTAACGTTTTAATTTTACTTGAAGCTTTTAATTTATGTTAATGTTAATATTTTACTTGAAACTTTTTAACTAATGTTAAGCCCTAGCTTACCTACAGTTGTTCAACTCATCTCAATCCCTAACTTACCTATGAATTAAATTAAGTCCGGTAAAGAAAATAGAAAGTTGAAGAGAAACATAACAACGACACCGAATGAATGGATGTTGTGTATGTGTGTGTTGTATTTATGTGTGTGCGTGTATGTAAATGTGCGCGCGCGTACCCTCCAGAAACTACTTCACCCACTACGGACGAACCTCCATTGCACCGACCATCATCTGACACGCACCGAGGAAATGAATTTTACCGGATACTGAAAAACAAAATTGAAAGAAAAAGTTAATTTTTTAAAATAAAAAACAAGCCATTGAAAAAAAGTAAGAAGCAACTTATCTTACCATGAGATTACCATCATGAAACGTGCTGACTCCCACCACAACCCACCTCTGATCATTCTGTAGACAAATTTTTTTTATTGGCTTAGTAGTAAATGAATGTTAAAACGAAAGAACAAACGAATAAATGATTGAGCGAATGATTGAGTGATTGAATGAATTAATTAACCAATCTATGACTCAATGAATGAATAGAATGAGTCAATTAATGGATGAATGAAAGATTGTGTGACAAAATGAATGAATGAAAAAGATAAAAACAACGAAACTAAACCATACTTCAAAAATCGTCGTTGTTGTTTTCTTCGAGTTGTTATCGGAACGATCATCATGAGACCACCATCTGAAACGTGCTGACGCCCACCACTGCCCACCTCTCATCAGTCTGTAGACAAGTTATTTTATTAGCTTAGTTAGTAGTAAATGAATGTTAGAATCTTAGAAGCAAAAAATTATGAAATGGAAATAATGGCAAATAAATAATATTTGAAAATAATAAAGAGAGTAAAATGTAAAAAAAACTTACCGTCGTCCATTCGACAAAGGCAAAATGATGAGTGCCTTCCGTTTCCTGCGTTGTCCTCCAAAACTGGTGCCAGTCCTCCTCGAGATTGTTGTTGAAACACAGCCCGTGGAATAGAGAAAGAGAAAATTCTCATCAGAAAGCTTAGCGGTGCCTGCATCTTAAATTGCTTAATAAAAATAATCCTATCTACCTATTCAATTACCTTAACTAATCTATAATAAATTGTTAATGGTACGATAGTCGAAAGTTCCCCTTCATTCTCCCTCCTTGCACAGAGGTTCACCGACAGCCAGGGCACCGGATAGTAAACCATTGCCGTGCGGATAGTAGACTACTGCCTTGCGGATAGTAAACCATTTGCCGTCCGGAAGCCGTGCGGGTAGTAGACTATGGCCATGCCGCATAGTAAATCATTACCGTGCAGATAGTAAACCATTGCCGTCCGGATAGTAAACCATTGCCGTGCGGATAGTAGACTACTGCCTTGCGGATAGTAAACCATTTGCCGTCCGGAAGCCGTGCGGGTAGTAGACTATGGCCATGCCGCATAGTAAATCATTACCGTGCAGATAGTAAACCATTGCCGTCCGGATAGTAAACCATTGCCGGTTCGCCACTGGCCGCCAAGGCTTACCTCTGACAAGAGACTTCGAAATTCAGAGTCTATCGGCTATCGTACCCTCAACTTACCTATTCATTACAATTAAGCCCTAGCTTACCTAAAATTACAAAACTCAAGAGCCCAATTCATTGGCCTTTCGGCACCCACCCCACCACCTACGTAATGCCTTGGGCTCCAACTTAGTAATAATAATATAAAACTTAAACCCTAAATCTATTAATGAGTATGTGTTACAACGTAGCCTTAACCTACCTATTCATTACATTACGGTCCTAGCTTACCTAAAATTACAAAACTCAAGAGCCCAATTCATTGGCCTTTCGGCACCCACCCCACCACCTACGTAATGCCTTGGGCTCCAACTTAATAATGATAATGTAAAGCTTAACAATTAACCTACCTATCGATACACTTACAGCGTTTTAATTTACATTACAAGATTTTTCCTAGAATTACATTATTGCTCTTAACTACCTATGAAATTAAATTACTCTCAACCTTATTAATAATAAATTAGAATGTGTAATGAAAATAAAATTACGCTCAAATACTAACATATGTGTTTATGTATGTATTTGTGTGTGTGCGTGTAATACGCTGGTGCGTGTAATGTGGGTGCAAGATAAAATAGAAGAGATAAACTTACGCTGCCCACCTATTCAACTACATTAGTGTTGGATGCTCCCTATCTATCCTACCTACAATTAAAATTAGGCCTATCTAACCTACCTATATAGCTACTTAATGTAATTGTGTGTGTATGCGTGTGTGCGCGTGTGAGCATTCCTACTTATTGTTAAATTACAGAAAAAAAGAAGAAAACGTATCCCAGTCAGGCAGGTATTCTTTGCCACTGAATGAACGAACGTAGCCTGACATCTTCCACGATGAACTCCTCTGGAAGCTTCAACCTGAATGAAATGAAAAAATCCTATTTAATTAATTTAAATGAAAATAGAGAAACGAGCCGCGGTGAAATCCACCAACCGGAAAAGCCAGCAAACTGGCAAAAAAAGAAACCGTTAAGAAACCGTAAAGTCGGAAGTTAGGGTTAAGGTTGAACGTAGGGTGACATCACAACCATTCTGATCCTCCACGACGAACTCCTCCGGAAGCTATTACCTGAATGAATGAAACTGAATGAACCTAGATGAATGGACAAATCTTATTTATTTAATTAATTTAAATGAAAATAGAGAAACGCAAAGAAGCCGACCGAAAAGAACCGCAAAGAACGGTATCTATATAGGATTTATGCTCTATATAACTCTATATAACTCTATATAACTCTATATAACTCTATATAACTCTATATAACTCTATATAACTCTATATAACTCTATATAACTCTATATAACTCTATATAACTCTATATAACTCTATATAACTCTATATAACTCTATATAACTCTATATAACTCTATATAACTCTATATAACTCTATATAACCATGCATACTAACACATTCAATCAATAAAAATCCCACTAAAACCAGGAACCACCGCGTACCTGCTGAATGTATGATGTGAAACAAAACAAAAAAAAAACACAAAACAAAAATCACACCACCAAGTAGAGTAAAAGAATAGGAGTCCCTAACCTACCTATGGAACTAAATTACCTTATGCCCTAGCCTACCTATATAATAAATTAATTTTTACCTCACCTACCTATGCTTCATTAACTTAACTCAAGACTCATGAAGAAAGAGAAAAAGGAGTAAAACAGAACATAAAATACTACCACACAAACAAACATGATGTATGTATGTATGTATGAGCAACCGCTAAAGAACCCACCTAAAATATAAAAAAATACAACATATAAACACACAAACCACAGACATGCAAACTCTATATAACTCTATATAACTCTATATAAAATTAAATTAAATAAAAATAAATAAATTAAAAAAATATAAATATAAAAAAATG